TTTAAATGGTGGGACGTCACTTTTTTTGTGAAGAGATGGTGTCCTGCTCTGTCACCCAGACTGAAGTGTAGTGGTGTGATTATAGTTCACTGCAGCCTTGAACTCCTGGGCTCAAGTGATCCTACTGCATGAGGCTCCTGAGAGGCTGGGATTACAGTCATGCGCCACCATGCCCAGATAGGTTTTTTTTTTTTTTTTTTTTGGTCTGTTTTTCAGAGATGGGTCTCGATATGTTGCCTAGGCTGGTCTTGAATTCCTGACCTTAAGCAATCCTCCCATCTCGGCCTCTCAAATTGCTGGGATTACAGGTGTGAGCAATCGCACCTGGCAACTTTTTTTTTTTCCCCCTAAGAAAACTCTACTGATTGGCCTGGAAAATAAATGGGGGAGGGTGAGCTAAAAAGAGGCTGCTATGGGGATCCAGGCCAGAAGGGTGAGAGGCTGAGCCAGAGTCGCAGGGATGGAGCGGGAATGAGAGGTGACTGCAGAGGATGAGGCAGCGATCAGGGCTCCCTAGGGGTGTGGTGTGGCGCGTTGGTGGTCAGTGCTTTGCAGAGAGGAGGCACATGGGTTTAAGCAAACACAAAATCCCAGTGGGCCTGAGGATGTAGACAGGGCACCTTAGAAGCGCAAAGCGGCTTTAGTCACTTCCCTTGGGTGAGATTTGTTTAATGGAAGCTTGCAGCTTCTCAGCACTTAGCAGGTGCTGACGGGGGCATCACAATATTGTGAAATGCAGCTGTGAAGCCGACTTCATTACCAGCTTACCTGGTGATGAAGCAGCCGCCTTAGTTAGCACTGATGGTTGGGTGTGACAGAGCTAAAATTGAACTTGGCAATTACCGCTCATGAGAGGTTCTCGGTGCTGGGAAAGGAAGGTTCCGTGGAAATCAACCCTGGTAATCACAGGGTTTAAAATTAGTCAGTTACTATTAAGGTTGCTCTGTCAGCGTATGCTTCAGGGTGATGTGAGGGAAGGGGGCGTGGAAGCTTGGGTTTGGGCCATTGTAGGTTACCTTATGTTCACCTGCACTGCATTTAAGAAAAAAAGTTGGTTCTAGGACAAAGGTTTGAGAGTCCCAGTGTTGATATCATGGTGCAGGGTCGCCATTTGGATAATAGGTGATTTTAAAGCCCTGTTCTTTTTCTTTTTTTTTTTTGAGATGGAATTTCGCTCTTGTTTCCCAGGCTGGAGTGCAATGGTGCCATCTTGGCTCACTGCAACGTCTGCCTCCCAGGATCAAGCGATGCTCCTGCCTCAGCCTCCTGAGTAGCTGGGATTACAGGCACGTGCCACCACACCTGGCTAATTTTTGTATTTTTAGTAGAGACGGGGTTTCACCGTGTTAGCCAGGTTGGTCTCGAACTCCTGACATCATGTGATCCACCCATCTCGGTCTCCCAAAGTGTTGGGATTACAGGCACGAGCCACTGTACCTGGCCTAAAGCCCTGTTCTTTTTATTTGCGTAAGCTCACACCCTCTCTCAGCTTTGGTGTTTTCTATTGACTTGAAGGGGTTTCCTGACTCGCTTCTGGCCTCTCCTTGGGATGTCACGCAGGAAGAGCTCAGCTCTCTGTGGGTTCCTCCTTGCCCCAGAGGAAGGAATGATGTGATATGGTGGAAGGTTCCTGAGTCCTTCACAGAGTTGTTTTTGGTAAACCTTGGCTGGGACATCTAAGCAATCTCAGAATGTTTGTCTCCATTTTGTGAATGGAGAAGACAGCAAGGGGCTGAGATGGGCTTGGTTGCTGCTGTAGTGAAAATCAAAGGACAAAGCTTATAATGATTCAATTGTGAGTTTGCCTGGGCTGTGTGCACTGACCCTCATGAATAAGAAGATGGAAGTCAACTCATTGCTGTGAGGCTCAGCTTCCTCATCTGTAAAATGGGAACTTGTTTTGTGCAGGTGTGAGGATTAAATGACATCATCAAAGCACAGTAGAACCTCAGCATGGCGGCTGTTGGCTATTAACAGTGATGGTTATGGACCAGACCAGGCACTTTCCATCGATGACAGCTGCTTTGCACAAAAACCCCACCAGGAGGGAACTGTTATTCCCATCTTAACATTAGTAAACAAAGGCTCAGAGAGGATCTAAGTTTGGCCAAGATCTAAAGGTACAGCCAGAATTCAAACCCAGGCATTCTGGCCACAGAGCTCGGTCATTGTCCCTGCCCCTCACCCTGGGAAGAGCTGAACAACAAGGAAACAAGTAACATGACTCATGCCTGTCATCCCAGCACTTTAGGAGGCCAAGACGGGAGGATTGCTTTAGGACAGGAGTTAGAGACCAGCCTGGGCAACATAGTGAGACCCTATTTTTACAAAAAAAGAAAAAATACAAAAATTAGCAGGGTGTCGTGGCCCATGCCTGTAGTCCCAGCTACTCGGGAGGCCGAAGCAGGAGGATCTCTTGAGCCCAGGAATTCAAGGCTGTAATGAGTTATGATCACACCACTGCACTGCAGCCTGGGCAATAGAGGGAGACCCTGTCTCAATAAATAAATTAATTAAATAAATACATAAATAAAAAAAAAAGAAAAGAAGAAAATGAGCAGCCTGGACAAGCTGCCTCCGTGGATAAGAAGAGAGAAGCATTAAAACTGAAAGATCATTTCCAAAAGGCTGCAGCTCCTCCACAGGAAGCTGAGTCATCTCTCTTTGTTTTGAACCATAACCATCACGTTGCCTCAGAATCTGAAAAATTAAAAAAGAACTACAAAAATGCTGAGTTTCTTCATGGTGCAGAGGCCCTTCTTGTCTCCACCCCAGAAGGAGCTGAGCAGAGGGGCCATAGAGATGGGACCCCCTCCTCCAACCCGCATTAAATACCTCCAGCTGAAGATTTATTGCAAAGCCAAGAGCACTGCACCTGGAATCCGGTCTCACACCCTGGGATTTGCCTTGCTAAGCCTCCGTTATCCAACCTGCCAGGCAGGTGCACCTGCCCCAGCCCTGCCTTCTCTGTGGGGCTGGTGCTCTCGGGATGTATAAGTCAGGATTGGGAGGATGCCTTCTCACCTGCACACCTGTGGATGATACGATCACAGCTCCAAATGCCTCCTCCCAGTACTTGTGGCAGAATCCAGTCCAGAATCTGGGCCTCGGCTTAGCTCCTATAAACTCTCTCTCCTACAGATGGTGGGGTTCAGTAAGCGTTTGATGAAGAATGCAGGGGCTTTCTGTGCTTGTCTGGTATCACCCAGCTTCTGCCTTTTAAAATGCCTTGTTCCTTCTCTATGTACTCAAACTCTGCCCCTTCTCCAAACCTCACCTTTTTCATGAAGCCCTCGCCCAGGCGACCACCCTGAGACCCTTAGCCGTGAGCACTGTCTCAATTATATCATAGTTACTCACCTCTGTGTGTGAGCCGGGCTTCCTGTGAGGACAGGGGCAGTGTTCTGTTCACACATTGCTCCAGCTTCTGGAATTATGACCTATGTGAAGTAGGGAGGAGGCAAAGGTAACAAATAGAAAGTTTTCTGAGTGAATAAATAAGTGAATGAATACATAAATGGTACTTGAAGGATTTTTACCTTTGTGTTTTCTTTGTGACAATCAATTATACCTTTCACTTATCTCGTTTCTGATGAACAAGTTTAACATTTAACAAGCAACATGGCTTCTTTCAACATCAACAAATGCCCATCATTTTCATGGCTGCATAGTATTCCATTCTGTGGACAGCTGTGATTTATTTATGCAATCCTGTATCAATGGACTTTATTGTCATTTTCATCTTCTTATAAATAACGATGCAATAAATATCCTTGTCCACACAAATTTGAGCCTAGAAAGTTCTTTCTCATCCTAAGCTTATAATAACTATTCATGGAGTTTGTTTTTGCACGCTTACAGCTTTGTGTGTGTATGTGTTTCTAAATCTTTGGTATGTCTGAAATTTTCATCCATCTTTGTATCACAGTGCAAAATGCACCTCTCTTTTGCCTTGAGACAAGGGCCATGTGCCTTGGATCTATGAGTTGTGTGCACTTTCTATTTGGTGAGCACCCACTATGTGTCAGGCCCCATGCTGGGAGCCAGGACCCAGAGATGAGCAAGAGAGACGATCTTGACCATCAAGAAGCTCCGAGCCTAGCGAAGAACAATAAACACAGAAACAAAAGCCGTCAAACACATAAGCAGAAACCATTGGCTGGAGGAGTGTGCTATGGACAGAGTGATTCCGGTGCAGGTGAGATGAGAGGAACTCTCTGTGGGGAGGAAGGAGATCTTTGAGCAGAGCTGGAAGGATGAGAAGCAGTCCGTTGTGTGAAAGTCAGGGGAAGAGCATTCCAGGAAGAGGGAACAGCATGAAAAAGGTACAGAGGCAGGGAAGCAAGATGTTTTCCTTTCTGGAGCCGTTTGTAATCCCCCTTCCAGCCCCTCCCTCCTCCTGCAGACACGCTGGGCACTAGCCCCCTTTGTCACATGAAATTTGCTGTTCCTAGGCCGTTCTCTCTGTCACTTACTTTAGTATTGTTACAAGTGTTCAGGAATAGGATGATTCCCCAGAGCTCTTCCTGCTTAGTCTGGATCCTCTCAGCTCTGTGATGCCTCCTCAGCAGCCTTTGCTGCTTCTGAAATGTCCAAAAAATTAAAATTAGTTTAATATCACTCGGCACAGTACATGACACTTAATAGGTACTATTAGCCCCATTTTACAGGTGAAGAAACTGAGGCTCAGGGAAGTTAGCCATTCCAGCAGGCAGAGCTAGGATTCAAACCCAGCTCTGTCTTATTTCAAAGTCTGCCTTCTTCATGGAGCCCTAGTTTAACAGCATTTGTGTGAAAGCTGATGAGAGACTGCTGGTTAATCCTTAGTGCCTTGGGCCAGCTTTATTCCAAGCCCGATCAAGGCTTGTGGTGGGTGACCTTGGCCTTTGGCCTGATGGCTTCAGAAGAGTGGAAGGGAACGGGTTGGTGGGGGGGCGGGGGGCGGTTCTTCTTTTTTTGTTTTAAATTACAAATGTAATACATGCTTGTGGTAAAGAAAAAAAAAATGAAGCAAGAAAGAAAAAGCAGCAACTGAAAATATCTCCTCCTCCCTAGTGTAACCGCTATTAACAGCCTGGTATCTTTTATAGTCCATGTTCAAACACATACATATATACCATTATTGTTTTTATAAAAATGGAACCATGTCCTTGACTTTTTCTCTCCTCCAGTTCCAAGTCAGTACCTACACGCCTTCCTTGTTCCATCGGATGTATTTCAATTTATTCAACCAGACCCTGGCTTTCAACATTTAGCTGTCTCTAATTCTCTCTGTAACAAGCAACATCCTTGGGCATGCATCCATGCACTGACTACAGGTATTTCTGCAGGATGGATGCTCAGAAGTCTAATTGCTGAATGAAAGGGCATGCAAGTTTCACACGTTGACAGGTGCTGCCAGTTTGCCTTCCGAAGGCTCTTCCAGTGCAACACCCCTCCCAAGGCAGTGTGTGTGAGTGGGGAAGGCTCTTAAGCCACAAGTGACGTGGAGCTGCGCTGTATTTAGGGGCTGCCTCCCCTTCTGCTCCCCGAGACCTGGCGTGGAGACCGCCACCAGGAGCTCCGAACACACAGGCCCAAATTGGAATAGGAGATGGATTTTGATAAAAGAGGTTAAATAACAGGTTTTTCCATTTCACCTTATACGAACGGGATGGGGGGGGATGGGGGTGCTGGGCCTCCAGCCAATAGAGGACCAAGAGTTGTCAGGAGGGCTTATAAAGCTTGCTATTTCTGGCATTTTTTCCTCTTTCTCTGCTGATTATGCAGCAGACTCGCACAGAGGCTGTCGCGGGCGCGTTCTCTCGCTGCCTGGGCTTCTGTGGAATGAGACTCGGGCTCCTTCTACTTGCAAGACGCTGGTGCATTGCAGGTGTGTTCCGCAGAAGGTAAGCAGCGGGTGCCCGCCGCCCCGTGAAGTGGAGGCGGTCAGGCCGTCCCTCTGGGCTGAAGACAGGTGATGTCTGGATGGGGGCAGGCAGGGACCTGGACTGGTGCTTGTCACATTTTGGAATGAAGATGCTTTAGAGGGGCCAGGAGGCCTGCAGTTGGCAGCTCCTCCTTGGAGAGGAATTCTGGAGGCGGTTGGGGCTGGCCTCTGGAGAGCAGGGTCAGGCTGTGGCCTTGGTGCCCAGGCTGCTCGGGAGCATTCATTCATTCATTCATTCAGCACACCCTACAGTGGGCCTGGCCAGGTGTGGGTTGGGGGTCTGGCTGATTCAGACTGGAAACAATGGGAGCAGTGATGGGGATGGCCCATGGCTTGCGAGGAGCCCAGAAAACACCTGGGCTAAAGAGTGACAGGGGCCTTCCAAGAAGGCAAGAGGGGTGAGAAGCAGCTGAGGACGTCACCAGGAATGCCCGAGCTGCCTCTTCCACTGGATTTTGGAGTTTGGGGAATCAATAAAAATTCCTCCCCAAATTTGGTGAATGCCACCTTTTCCTTTTGTTAAGGAAGGACATTGAAAAATAACCAGTTGGGATCTCCACGCACCATACTTTTGTAGAAGAAAGGACAGCAACAAATGAAAAAGGACCTAGTCAGACTTAAGGGGACACACATGCCCTTAATAGGTGGCAGAGATTTCAAATGCAGAAACCTAACTTGAATGGCCATCCCAGCTGTGCCTGGGAGGCTATCTTGGTGATGGGAGTTGGCTGGGTTGGGGGCGGGGCTTGTTGCTGTCGATGGCGCTGCACCCAGCAGACCAGGAGGCCCGACCTCTTCTGGAGCTCTCATTTATCACAGCCATTGGTGAAATCCGGCTTCAAGCATGTGCGTCCCAGCAACAGAAGCCTCCCGCTCAGGTCCGCTTTCCGTCATTTGGAACATCCTGGGTGAACCGGGAGAGACCAGGAAACACCAGCTTCTGTGCCTCCTGGGATGGTTTCCACCTTCTCCACTGTGGCTTTGAAAGCCTGCAGGAGGCAGCGGGCCCAGGTCTGCAAGGGAAGGCTGAGGAGCCAGCTGGCCCCAGAAAGTAGCTAACTGGGGTCTGGGTTAGGCACTGCTTACAAATCTCAGCTCGGCCACGAATACAATCTGTGACATAGGGCAAGTTCCTTGAGCTTTCCAAGTCTCAGTCTCTTCATCCATAAAATGGGGACACTGATGCCTACTTGTGTTGTCATGATGGTGTGTATGTATAAGCATTTACGTGTGTTCATGTGTATATGTATGCACACATGCACGTGTTCACACACTGCATAACACTGCCTGGTAGGTGGAAGGACCTCATTAATGAGGCATGAATGAATGAGCTAATAACCTAGGATGTCGGCTCAGCTCAGGAGGAGGGTGTGACTCACAGGGGCATGTGTTTGTGTGCATCTGTGTGTATGATCCAGGGAAATCGCTTCTTGTGCTTAGAGTCAGAGGCTCTGGAATCTGGGGAGCTTGAAGGGAGGGCCACGTCTGTTTCACAGCCCTGGCTGATAGGAATTCTTTGTGTTTCTGGTCACTTCCGTGGGTTCTTGACTGGGAGAGGAGTTTATGGCAGAGACTGGCCATTTTGAAACAGAACCAACCGATCCTTTTAGTGTTAACAATTCCTGAACAACTTACTGAATACCACTCATCAGCACTGTGTTGGCGGCGCCCTGGGAAAACAGCCAGCCAGTAAGCCAGCGTTCAGATTGCTACCTGACGACCTGTTTGCTGAGAGCCCCTGGCTGGGAAGGAAGGTACTGGAAGGAAGGGAGTCTTGGAAGGGAGAGAGTGGCTGAGAATTGCACCCCCACACATGCTCCCTGCCTGGAGAACAGAAGCTGACCCAGGTTTAAGACCTTGTTTGAAGTCATGGCTCTGTTCCTTGCTTGCTGTGTGACCTCAGCAGAGCAACCTCTCTGAGTCAGTTTCCTTGCCTATAAAATGACAGATTGTTAGGAGGACTAAGTGGGATAAAATATATAAAGCACATTGTTGGTGCTCAGTAAATAACGTGTTCTCCTGGGGAGGGAAGGGGCCCTGGAGAGCCTTTGCCTGAAACCAGGGTGTCTGCTGGCACGCAGGGGCCCAAACACAGTGGGCACCTGCTGAATATTTATGGGAAGAATGAAGGTGTGCAGAAGTGGGAGGCCTGAGTTGCAGGGCTTTTCCTGCCATTAGTAATTGCTGTGTGGTCTTGGGCCAGTTCTTCATCCCCTTTGGACCTCTGATTCCCTCAGAAGAAGAATCCAGGCTGATGGCCTCAACCCCTGGTCTTCCACTGTGTTGGAAATCGGGTGTGTGGGAGCCTCCAGAGCAGGATGAGCTTCATGTTTGAAATTAATTTCCTTTCCTCAGCCGGCGGCATCCCTGATGACTCTCCCCTGCTGCGTTGTGCAGGAACAAACCGGTAATTAATGAAATTGGGAGCAGGGGCGTGGAGGCGAGGTTTCCCGTGGAGGCAGCTGGGGGCCTACCGGGGCAGCCTCTGTGCCACCCACTGGGAGGCCCAGGGCTGCCCAGGAGCTGCCATCTCTGTCCAGCCAGGGGGCCTGGCAGATGTTCACACATCTGGACAGTTGCAAAGTGAGGCCGGAAATATCATAGATGGGGAGATGGGGAGTGAATCCTCCAGTTTCTCCTGGGCCTGGGAAGCCATTTTCCAGGGAGGGCCTTGGGAACCTCCTGCTGTTGGGTGTTGAGCTGAGCCTGGAGTAGGAATTGGGTGGACCTGGATTTTCAGCCTTTGCTCTCTTGACTTCTAGTTGTGAGGCTCGAGGCAGCTCACTTAACCTCCCTGGGTCTTCCTTGCTGTGAAGAGAATGGAGGCCATGGGAGCAGCTGCCCCCTAGTCATGGGGGGATTGGTGTAGAAAGGCAGCTTTGATTTGCATGTCCTCACCCCAGGGGGCTCATCTGGAAGGAGACAGTTACTCTCAATGGCCCTTCTCCTGATTCACACCCCCCCCCACTTCAAAATTCCTCTTCTACTTTGTGCCCACTTTGTATATATGACTGTCCACTCCTCGGCTTAGGCCACAAATGTGGGATCATCTTTGACCCCTCTGTCTGCCTTACGCCCTGCATCTAATCCGCCTGCATGTGCTGCTGGCTATACCTTCAGGGTGCAATGTTGTCTCCCTGCTTCACTATTACCTGTCACTTGGGTGACTGCAGGAGCCTCCTCCCAGGCCTCCCTGCCTCCACCCTTCCCCCTTAGTCTGTTCTGCTCACAGCAGCCAGTGGGATCTCTGAGAACCGCCTGATGCGCACATCCCTCCCTGCTTAAAGCCTGTGGTTGGGTGTCTTTTATAATCAGCTGGATGCGTTCTGATATCTTTAATATACCCACCTGGGGGAGCTGGGCACCTGTCTGACCTCACTTTTTGCAGTCCACAAGCTAGCGTCTGCCTCCTGCAGAATCACTGTCCTGCTCCCTCCTAAATCCCCTTCCTCACTGACCAAGCTATTGTGCCTCTTCATTTTGCTTTCAGACCCCTTTGTCCAGAATGTGTCTCTTAGCCCTCGGACTCCTGTTTATTCTTGCAGGGGTGGTCACGACGTCCATGGCTTTCCCGAAGCCTTCTCTGATTTCCCCTGCTGTCTACCCGCAACTATCTGAGCCAGGGTCCCCTTCCCTGTGCCCACTTCAGTCATTGTCCACCCCATCAGTGCTGTGATGCTCTGGGAGGACATCACCCACGGCGATGTACCTTTATTCTCACACATGCTGCAAAGCCAGACAGCACAGGAGTATTAATTTAGGCAGTAAATGCAAAGACCTCCCTGCAAATTAAGGGCCTTCAGACCTAGACGGACTGGAGTAGGATCCTCAAACGGTGGTTTGATTTGGCTGTGTGACCTTGGACAAGTCACCTAGCCTCTCTGAGCTTGGAGGGTCACGAGGATTGACGAGATGACATGTATAACGAACATCCCCCTCTTTCCCACTTGCTGGATAGCAATGTTTCCAAAGACACTTGGAATGTTTAACCCCTCACATTTGCTCTGAGCAGAGCAGACTCAACAATGCGCACAAGGAGCCCACCACAGAACCCCAAACAGGAGCAAAAATAGCAGCCATCAGGGCAACCTGAGTTGCAGAAGCCACAGGAAGAAGCCGCAGGCCAGGCGGATGTCAGCTGCTCTGAGGCCCCGCTGAGGTTCCTCGGATGTGCCGAGCTATGCAGCCCTCACGCCTGCCCTCGCTGGCTCCCCAACCACAGCATCAGATAAGGCCGGTGGAAAAAGTGCTGGCTTCCTCTCTCTGGGGAGGGGTAATCTCAGTGCCATCTGTAGGGCACACTCCATCCCCAGTTGCCTCTCTGGCCTCCCCTCCCCCTCCCCCTGCTTGCTCTGCCCGTCTTTGCTGGTCTCTTTGCTGACCAAGGTTACACCTGCCAGTGGCTCCCATCTTAGGGCTTGTACACAGGTTGCTGGGCCCTGGAATGCTGTCCCCAACACATCTGCTAGGCTCACTCCCTCACCTCCTTCCAGTCATGGCTCCACTATCACTTCCTCAGTAAGGCCCACCTTGACTGCTCTGTTTAAACTTGCATACCCTCCATCTCGACGTTCCCAATACCCCTGACCTGCTCAACTCTTTCTTCTTTCTGTAGACCATGAAAGTCACTTATTGACTATGTATTGTTTTCTGTCTCCAGTGCAAGAGCATAAACTCCAGGGGTCTTTGTTCATTGCTGTCTCTCAGGAGCCCAGAATAGTGCCTGGCACCATTAGATGCACAGCAAATATTCTTTCAGTGCATGGATGCATGAGTGCATGAATAAGAACCAGCCCAGCAATCAGAAGAGGTTCAGGCCAGATTTTGGGGTGAGGGGGGTTTGTTTCTGGGCTCCAGGCCCCAGGGATGGGCTCACATAGTCATTGAGGATTCTGGCCCCAGGATTCACCTGCACTGGCCAGAAGCCCCTGCTGACCTTCAGGGCGATAGCTGTCTGGG